AAGATAATGGGCGGAAGACCCAGAATAACTCATCTAGATTCTGTATCTGAAGTCTCTTTAGTCATTACTCGTTCAAGAAGTGAGATAATGGTACCCAACTCAGGCCCGTAGCCAGGGGGGGTTCGGACGAACCCCCTGTTGTAGCTGCAAAAAAGTTTTAGATTAGCTCCTGTCATGAAGAACAGCACTGCAAAAGCAGGATTAGCATTTTGGCAACAGCGAGAAGCACAGATAGCCATTTTAGCTGAGTCAGCACATGGCTGATATGCGTAAATTAAGACCACGCCTACCAACCACGCCCGTTTTCGTCAAAATTTTCGCTGCGCGCGAAGCGCGCAGCAATTTTCGAACCCCCTATTTTGAGTTCCTGGCTACGGCCCTGCAACTAAATGCGGAAAGTTTACTTGTTTTTGAGCATAAAATGTCGAGAAAACAAGCTTTTGGAATTATTAAAGTTGGAAGACCTAAAGAAAAGAATTCTTTAATAGGGGCTTGCTTTAAATCTTTCATTTATAATATTGCTTTTGAGATAATGGGGACCAAAGAACAAACTAGTACTTTTTTAACTTTTAATCGCTAATAAATGCAATAGAAGAGCGTAAATCTTGCTATTTTTGGCTACAGCATGATAGTGGTATAACAGCTGATTTCTTTGAAGTATCATATGGCACTGCAATCACTACTATGCGAGTGCTATTATGTGAAAATCAGGGCTGCAGAGATGGAGAGAGCAAGTCTGGCCAGGGGTAACTAGCTTAAGTTGCTAGGCAACCTAATAATCTCAATGGAATAATCCGCCCACGCAACGGCAGTTTCCTATCCCTTTCATTTACTCTAATATCTATGGTATACAGGGATTGGAAACGGGCCGTAGCAATGCTAGTTGATAGTACCGTAAATAATTTTTCTAATTACTCGTATGTAAAATTAAAATGGCTGAAAGTTGAAAAAGGTAAGCAAACTTCTCAGGTGGTTTTTTGTTGCATAAAGTCTTATTTTGTATAGGTAACCCTTCAATAATGTTGAGAGACATTCTTCCTGTTTGCCCAAGCTGTCTGCTGTAGCAATGTATCTGTTTGCAGTTTAAATTCAGTGTTTTATGAATTAGCAATCATTATTGATCACATTTACTATATTTAGTTCTATATTTTGATTTGTACAACCTATTGAATAGAAATGGTGTTGGCGACCTCCGGTGTGTTCTAAGCAATACGATGGTGTGATAGTTAATGTCACAGACCCTTTGGTTTTTATGTTAAGGGTACAAAACAAACCTCTCAAACTAATCAGTAAATCTATTGTTACAGAAAGATGCAATTGTATTTCCAAACGAAACATAGTAGGCGACCTCAACATTATGGATCTCTATTGAGTGGGTGGATAAGTTATTGTCTTCTGTCTAACACTACTGAGATAAGGGTACAAAACAAAATGTCATTCTAAGCATTCTCATTCCAGAGCAAATATTCAGTGCAAATGATGATGCTAGCAACATAAAAATTAGTCTAGGGATAGATGCTAGTCTCTTCTACTTCCTTTGATATAAATAATGACGTATTATAGTGACACCACTGCTGGAATGACAGGTCTCAAAAAGACAGCTCTTGCTCAAAGACAGCCTCCGTTGCTAGGCGTTGCTAGATGCAAATGTCAACTAGCATCCGTATCCTAGGGATGTATACGGAGATGCCCCGTTTCCAATCCCTCTGTACTCTGATATCTATGGTGTGACATGTAAAAATTAATCCTAATATTTAATACTTTGATGTTAATGAGGTGAGGTTAGTGGTTGTGTTTAGTATTGCAGGGGCGTTTCTAGCATGGGGCTGAATGGTGCTTGAGCCCCCCTCATGGCTGGGCTCAGAGCCTCAGAAAAATATTACTGAAGTCCTGGACTTTTGCATCACTACCAAGCCTCTTAACAAAGTTATCTAGCCCCCTGATCATGATTTCCACCCTCCTTCCCTAATTCCTAGATACGCCCCTGTATTGTACATGTACATGTACAAGTACTGGAGGTATAACAAATCTATTGGTACACAATATACTTGATAATATGAAATACCATACTAAGCATGACTATACAATGTCTAATTATGAAAATATTTTATGTAGCATCAGAATTTTGTGAATATTTAATATAATAATACACAAAATACAGTTAATATGAGTACAACACAATATATCCTCTAGTGATAATACTGAGATAATGTATTACTGTACAATACAATACAACAAAATATAATACAACTTACTATTATACTATGTGTCACACTGAATATGTAAACACTGTTAGTACTTGTAGTCCCATCACCATTAACAGCCACAATACCCCCAAACATTACTCCTCTGTTACCAGTAGTAGTAATCTTCTCAATTATGAAAGAATCAGTTGGTAGACAACACTGTCCACTGATAGATGGAACAGTGAATTGTTCTAAAGTGAAGAGAATATAGTACATGTGTACATAAAGCTATTAGGAAGAAAATCTTACCAGTGGACACATTATAAAGTAACTGTTCATTAGTACGAACAACACCATCCTTAATTTGATCATATTGAAACTGAGGATGGTAAACAGTTGGTGTAGAACCTTTCCCTCCTATTATGACAAGGTATTCTGCTCCATCAAATTCCACTGATATCATTCCACCATAGCCTTTCTTCATCAATGACTGTTCAGCATTACTGCATGAAGTCCACTCCATCTTTATCGTATTCAGTACATTCAACATATTGTGGTAACAGTGATCATGACCACACCATCCACCAAAATAGTAAATATTAGAATGAGAGGTGGTACAGGAGTAGGCAATTACTCCTAATGGAGGAGTACCTCTTGTTAGGTGAGAGGACCAGTCAGCAGTAGAAAGCTGGTAGACATCAACTGTTGAAGTCAGTTCCCTCTTTTGAAGGGAGTCATGAACTTTAGGTAAGTTAAGCTGGCTCCCTGCCCACAGGTAGAGGGACTTCCCTATTACAGGAGCTTTGTGTTCAGCTCTGATTTTGAAACCTGTAGTAAATGAATAATGAAATAAATGAAGACAATGACTACAGAAGAATAAATAGAAAGAGAGAGCATGAAGACAGAGGAGGAGGGAAGATGGTAGGGAGAGATAAACTAACTTTTTCCAGACATCCACCAACAACGAGTCACGCCTAACAGTAACACTTCAAAACAGTCAGTGGATTGTCTCCAGATAGGGCTTGGCAAATTATGCTTCAATTTTTGCCTTTAGGGACTGCTCCAAATTTCATCCTATTATGCTTTGAAATGAATCCAATTATGCTTATTATTATGCTCGTAGTTTAAGCTTTACTCAAATATCAGCTATCAAGTTACATGTACATGTATCTGTTAAAATTGTAATAATGCCAGAATCAAAAAATGTTTCTAGTAATTTTGAGTCACTGGAAAATAGAATAGTCTAAGTCATTGGGCTTGCCACACTTGAATAGATGGGTACTAGGCAGTGGGGTTGTTGTACTAGTACTTGTACCACCTGCCATATTGAATTGAAATCATGTGGGCGTCAGAGGTATAGGGCCAGAAATTTTGACTCATTATGCTCCAGTTATGCCAAGATAATAACTTGCCCTATTATGCTCCAAATTATGCTAGAATAATTTGCAGTGTTGTTACCCTTGCCACGCGTAGACGTATAGGCAAGGGTATATGAGTCGTTTTAGTCCATGATTTACATTTTAGTTTTAGTTATGGTACTTTAGAACAAAGTATAAATCTATTTAGTTCCATGCAGTTCTAGTTATAGTAAAGTTTCAGCCTATTTATTTTAGTTATGATTATGTGATACCATTTTCTTTTAGTTATAGCTATATATAGTTTTAGTTATAACAAACCAAGCAATCACAAGCAAAAAAGCCATTGAATCATAGCAATTTCAAATGTTACCATAAAGAAGCATGCCCCACTAACAAAAGTACCCTCTCAACAGGATCAATTTTGGTCAAATGAAAGTAGATTTCACGGAATTAGATCTAATAAGTAGGCACGACTAGTACTAGTACAAAACTGTTAATTCTATTTTAGTTATAGGTCTGACATTAAGCCATTTTAGTTATGATTCTAGCTACTTTGACATCAAATGGAAGAATTATAGTTTAGTTAACTAAAATCACAATTTTGTTGTACTAAAATAGATTTAGTTATAGTTATATATACCGTAGGACGACTAATTTTCGCGAATGCTAATTAGAATTTCCATGGAAACAGATTAGATAGTTGCTATGGCGATTGACCACGTGTTTATACATTTACAGTGTCCAGCAGCTAATCAGCTATCTTTAGCAGCTTTAGTGGAGCCATCCAGCTCTCTTATCCCGTTATATTCTTGTATGGACCACTACCTTCGAGCTCTTTGCTGCAAAATCAGTGCTGGTCCGTCGGTCATGATTATAAACCACACCCAAGTCAATAAACATAATGTTTAGGCTGTGTCTACAGCTCCGGTAACCGGACGTAGTTTGCAATGCTAGAGCTCCGGCAGTCCGTTTTTCTCCGTAAAACAGCTTGTGCGCATGCGCAGTAGTGCAAAATGGAACTTAGTCTTTTTATCAAGAAACACTAAACCCTAACCCCAAAACCCTACGATCCCGGAGGCTAAGATGTACGAGAGGGTGCTCTAAAAACTAAACACTAAACCCCAATCCCAACCCTACGACCCCGGAGGCTAAGATGTACGCGCGGGTGCTCTAAAAACTAAACACTAAACCCCAATCCCAACCCTACGACCCCGGAGGCTAAGATGTACGAGAG